ACCACTCCGTCTCCCACCACCACCAGCACCTGGGCGCGGCCTACGGCGGCGACGCCGTCTCGGCGACACCCCCGACTACTTCCTCCTCGAGCGGCGCCGCGGGCCCCGCCCCCAGCGAGGTATGGAACTCCGTCCACCACCATCATCAGTACCACCACCAGTACTATCCCTACACCACTCCGTATCACCACCAAGCACCCCAGTGAGTGAAGCAGATATTATCTCACTTTTTATTTATTTTATCTCGGCTGCTATCTAGTGCTGGTCTTCGTGTGCATCTTACAATTCTTCTTGGGGAGAAACGCCGAAAGATTATCACGCACAATTCTCGAAACTGTCTAAATCTGTCCAAAAATCATTGTCGATAAGAAATTTAGTTTTTGGACAAACCGTAAGTAATAGCGGAAACTGTTCACATTTTAGATACACATATGATGAGAATACTAAACGGTATTCGCCTTTCGGCATTTCTTTCACTTTAGTTCAAGTACGTGCTTACAAACTTCCAAGGATTCTCTAAGGGAAGGGTACGTTTATTGATTGATGTGTATCCGCAATAACTTAATTGCTCAGTTATTAATTCCAAGATAAATAGCAGTATTAAAGCTTACTTCAAACACGTATGTGCATTTAAAAACAACTTGCTCAAATGGAATCACTTTGTTACAATCTTCACTACGCGCGGCGTAGTTTCTTTTCATTTAAGTTATTTATTTTTTATTCTCTTTCATGATTCAGTTTCAGTGCACATGATCTGATCAATTCAACCTTGACTTAATTATTGTTAATTTATCTGCAGATAACTGTTTCTTTTCAGTAAGATCATTTTTGCGCGAATGCACGAACTTATTCGATTATATATATGAACATATGGTCGGGACTTAACTGGTAACTGTATTAAAAAATTGCGTTCCTCGTATCTAATCCGATGCGACTGAATCCTTGGAAGTACTGCGGAGCGCATGCATGCAGTGCAAAGGCATTTGCAACGGAATTGCAGATATAGC